TAACTTAAAAATCAAGCAGGTGTACAGCATTTTCTTGACATAAAGAAACAACAGCTTGTCAGGCTTCGTCAGACCCCTTAGAATAATTACTTCCACAGCCCACATTTTGTTTGATGGTTTAGATAATTAACTTCTTTACACATCAAAGTCCCATCATCCGTATGTTCTATTTCCTTTCTTCCGGACATTAAAAAAAAAAAAAGGCAATTGAAAAGCAGAAGCACTCTCAAATCAATTTTCTTCAATAAGTACAGCTAACATGGAATTGAAAGGCCTCTGTAATCTTCAACGGGTCAATGTACTATATTTGTTTTAGCTCCAAACTGAAATGCAGCTGTTTGCCATATTCTACAAAATGAATTCAGATGTTCAGATTAGGTCACAGATTATTTCAGCATGCCTTATTTTAATCATGAACTCTAGCAAGGAGAAGATAACATCTGATTAACACTATTTGCAACTAGTAATTATGAGGTCCTATCTAAATACGTCCAGCTTTTACAAATTCTTTTCCCATAAGTAAAATGTTGCAATCAAATTTATAATGAAAAATACACACATTAAAAGTTTTTATACATGTATAAAAATCATTAATGTAAATAAACTTTCAAAAGTATCTACTGTAATCTAAATGTCTCTAACATTAAAGTGTCATATTAGAAAACAGTACTTATCCCCTACATATCACAACAAAAAAAAGTTTCAGTTGAAGGAAACAAATTCTAAGTCCTTTCTTATCAAGTTTAGGCACATCCTTTTCACTGAGGAAGGATGCTTAGACTGTCCGTTCATACATCCTTTGTAAACTATAGCCTCTCCTCTGAAGTTCCCAAGAGGAACTAACTCACACTTATTGTTGTTTAATCAATGAGCTATACATATAGCCTATATATTTATTCAATATCCTCTCCAGAGACAGATAAGAATTGAAACTTTACTGCTCCTAAAACTTGAACTTAACATTGTATTCTGCAAGTACCAAATCTGTGCTATTTCATATCATTTGATGACATACACAGACTTCAGAAAAATCAGAGTCAATATCTCCATCTTTTATTTTGAAATATTACTCAAATATGTTCACCAACCACTACTACCAAATCGTGCCATGAGGATTTGGAGAATGGTGTATTCAAAGGCTCATTACAGAAAGAGTCCTCCACTACATCTGTTAAATATTGACCTAAACTCAATATAGAAGAGCAAACACGTATATTACTCTAGCACTGCAAAAACTGAATAGACCTAAGTCTAAACTGTTAGTTTAAAATAGAACTGCATTCGCACAAGAGACAAATTTGAATCAGAAAGGCTTAACAGCGTTTTAAGTAAAACTGGGCATAATTAAGTCAGTAAATGCATTTGTTTTCAATGTTTTCAAAGTGTTTGCTGAATCAAGTCACATAGGTCTTTAACTTCTCTGTTTTTCCTTGAGATTTGTTAAATTTTGAATTGGTATGTCTAGGCTAAAGAAGGTGTAGAATTACTGGAAAAAAAAAAAAAAAAAGCAATGTTCCTGCACGTATCCCTAAATTAAATACATTATTGTAGAATGTACCATAATGGCAAACTAATTTAGCAAACCCACATCTAATGTGGACACTGCATCAGGCTTTCCTTGTCTTTCATAAATACATTTTGCATATAACCTGAAGCCATGCAAAAAGTTAAAGACTGACATATTTTCATCTCTATAAACGCAAACAAAACAGAAAGGAAGGAAATGAATGCCAAGATGATTATGAATTAATACAACATTGACATTAATGTTTTTGTTTTCAAACCCTGTACTTCATAGTAATCAGGTTCATTAGAATATTACCATCAAGTATTTTACTGAATGCATGGACTCAGCAGCACACAAGAGTGCAAGGAACAGTCTTTTGGGGTTAGAGATATATATTAAGAAAAAAAAAAAAAAAACACCCACACTTCATTCCAAATACTAGAATGTATATATTGGTTTACTGATCACCTACTCTCCCAGTATCATGGAATAGCTGAAAATGCAAATACTAACTATTAAATCCTTAAGTTCTCCTAAGTTGTATAAGCAGGCTAGAACAAGAAACATGCTAGAGTGAAATGTCTCAGGTAAGCACAATGCAAGGATGCCCTAGATTTTACAATAAATGAATGATTCAAAATATATAACACAACTCCTTTATCATCCTCTAAGTTGTCCAGGACTGCAAAGTAACTATTAGCTTCCTCTATAACACATAAGAAATAGTTCTGCTTATAGGCAATAAGATAAATTCCCTAAATTTGGCCTCTTTAAAGGCAAGCAGAAAAAGCAAAGGAACGAGCCTTCAAAGAACAGCCAGAGAGAGTCCAAGATTAGCAGCAGTCTGTGGGCAGGCAGTGATACATCTGCATCAGGTCTGCATACAATGATACTGTTCAAAGCGAGGGATGCCGTCTGAGCTTTCTTTCATTTCTGAATTAATTCACAAACTATCATAAGGTGGAATGCATACATTATTCTTGCTAAGGAGAAGATATTACATCTGCTATTGCTGCTTCTTTTTATTACCCAATACACTAGATTCTTATGGTAGTTTTATCTGAAAATGAGTAACAAAGAAATATCCATCTTACAGCTGTCAATTCACAGCCAAACTTCATTCACCATCCAGACAGAATAGCACCTCATCTTTAACTGTGACATTTTGTATCGTAATGAAACACACTTGGAACATTCCTCTTTTCCATTTATAAGGCAGCTTAATCATTCATAGCCATTTAGAAGAAACAGGCATGTTGAAATGAAGAGAGTGAAACAAACTTTCAGATGCATCTAGGCATATAGATTTTGGACCAAATTCTGTCCTTGGCTATGGATCTCACACTGGAAATAAAATGCTCAAAAGAGTAAAACATATATTACTGATTTTATCTTCACAACTGTCCTGTTTTGCATCCCTGGGGCTCTAAATAATCATTTCCACTTCTGATGAGAACATATCTTTGTGTATAAATTTTGCTGAAGAATTTAGATCAAAGCCATAAACAAGTACAACTCTTTCTCACTGACTTTGCAGGGAAAGAAAACTCACAGGACTTAACCAATTACAGACTAAACATAACCCTCCAATTCTATGTAACTACTGTGTTTTACTTGAAATGACTCTGTATTTCCTCATATTTTAAGCTATTATTTATCCATCCATGAGTTAGGCCTGACAGTTATTTAAGCCTCTTCTCAGACAGACCACAGAACGGTCTGGACTACTCTACTGAAAGAATACTAATATATAGATGTAACTATTTCATTTGAGACTGAGAAACATGTAGCATAATCTTACATGGGAGGTATATCTCTGCATCTGAATACGTTTACAATCACTTCTCTTGTACAATTTCTAACTAAACTCTAACGAGAGCTCTGTCCTTCCCCAGAAGTGAATTTTCACTGAGAAAGCAGGAAAAATGAATCTAATGTGTGTGTCCATCTTCCTCTCAATAGGATGTGCGGCACTTCTTACAGAACTCCATGCCACCTTTGGTGCAGTTAATGGCACTGCAAATTAAGCATCAGTGACCTTTTTCCTTCCTAAGGATGCTTTAACAGAACAGTGCAAAGACCAAATATCCTGTAAACAACAACAACAAAGGCTCCGTAGGTTCCTGAATCCAGGTGCTGTAGCCATAACTTTGGACTAGCAATTATTTTCAAAAATGCATTATTCTAGTAGTATTCTGAATCTTTCTTAGCAAGTATTTAATAATTGTATAGGCATGCAATTCATCAGCCCTGTTTTTCCTGATGTAGCCACTGACAACTTTCAGTGAAGTAAATTCAAGGTGTGCCTGCAACTCTAATGATAGAAGTTGGCTTTGGATCTTTTGGAGCTTATACATATGACTCTCACAAGCAAAGATGAGCAAATCCCCAACCCATAACTCATTCAATATTTTGCTTTTTTGAACAGCGAAACATTCATATATGAGAATGCAGATGTCAAGTTAGTTCTACCAGTGTTTGTCAACAACTAAATCCATTAATCGTCATGATTCCCATCTACCTTTAGTCCCATCTAGAGTCACTTAAAATTTGAGGTTTCACTATAGTTGCGCTCTCTGCAAAGTGTAACCAAATTACTCCTTTCTTCCCTTTAAATTATTCTTTCCCGATGTATAATTTCTCTTTCTAGAATTCTCCTGCATCTGCCTCCATCTGCTCAATGCCTTTCAAGATGACATGACTTACTAGACCTTAGTTAAACACTCTGGCATACCAGGATTTTCATACTTTGCCCCAGACTATAAAGAGAGGAGTTTGGGACTCTACAGAATTGTCCTATGTTTATCGTTACAGAACTCTTCCTGCCCTTTCTGAAATCAACGCTTGCCATCATAAAGCTAAGTTCTCTAGAGCAGAAAATGTCTACCTCCATTGTTACTTATTTGCACAGCACCCAGCACAACAAAAAACCCTGGCTTAACAGGATTCAGCTGCTAATATAAATTACAACCATTTAAAAGAATCACGTCTAATAGTATTTCAGTAACATTCAGGACAACAACCCCTTCAGAGATTTCACAATCACAAATAAGGCCTGCTAGATTTATACAAAAATTTGTTCTGCTTCTTGAAAACACACACTTTCCCTCATTTTTAAGCATACAATTTTTAAAAGCATTTAACATTGGCTAATGACTCCCATGTCAATCATAAACGTTCCCAATGCACACCTCCGAAGTTAGGCCAATACCTAGATGCTTCAGAAAATTGCCCCTTCCATACAAGGTATTGGCCTCTTTTTACCATTATTGTTTCTTCTCTTATGACAACTTGAAGAACTGTTTGAACTATAAACTTTTCAGCTAACCTTGTGACTTTTTGACTGTAATCAAATGTAATACTTCAAATGTATGCAAAATAGAAGGTTAGGGAAAAGTCGAAGATTATTTATAAATAGAGATTTATTCTGCCTTACCGTACAAATGAACACTTAAAAAGATGATCTCAAATGAATAGTGATTACTTGTAGCGCTACTAATGCCAGTTTTTGAAATACAAAACACAGACCAAATCAATTTTGGCTCTAGTACCTTTGACATGCAGTTTTCTGATCAGCTCCCATAAGCTCATATTTGAGTCACTGTTGCCTGGTTCCATTAGAGCATAGGCCTAACTAGTTTCCTTTTCTTTACATACTTCATATTTCAAAATATTTGGACATTTCACAATGAGAAGAGTGTCAATTCAATTAACTTCTGTGGGATAATCACACTGTTTGGGTTTGGCCTCATGCCTTGAAGAGCCCTCGCAGCAATGACCCAGAAATACACTGTCTAGCAGGTGTCACTGCTTGAGGGCATCACATCAGGAGAGCAATAATATGACCAGTGTTCGGCGTTGCTTTACAGTACTGTATGTAAGCAATTGTTAAAACACATGTAGCTTACTAACTTATAGCTTGCTTATGCTGACAAGTTACTAACCTACCAATCAAATTTCAGAGAGCTCCATTCTATATTAATCGAAATTAAGCCCAGGAGAGTAATTCAGTCGGTTGTGACACTCAGAGGCTTAACAAATACTCTACGTTTGCATGTACCAAAGACTACTGAACCGTGTTGAAACATGGCTTTGGAATTCTTCCTTCTGTCTTTTCAGTGTATTCTAGTTAGACCTCAGGCTTTTCTCCAGAATCATCAGGGCTTGGAATTCCTTTATCTAAATTAAACCTAACGTGCTTACACAGTCATAGGATTCACAGAAATGAGGCTTTCCCAAAACCATAGATAAAGACTGTTGCAATTAGAAACACTGCTTATGGCACCAGCATTCCCATCTACATAGCAACAATACACAGGGTAAAAAGGCATTAGAAGAAAATACATTCTGATTTGCACATTAGTAACATGCAAATATGAGCTGGCCCAAAATCTACCAAAGTTAACAGAAGGAATGACACGGCCCTCCATAGCATTTGGATCTGTCCAATAATAAAGAGAAATATGTAAAAATGGAGAGAGGGAAGGTGCTCTGCACCCTGTCAAGTTAGTTAGCACTGTACTTAGGCAGCGCCTCGAGCCTGCCAGAAAGAGAGAAGGCCTGTACCAAGAAAGAATGATGTCAGAGTCAGTTCAAAGACTTCAGAAGAAAATGTAAGCATCTCACCAATAAAACTGCAAATGTTTACACAGATTCACTCTTAGGAAATCTGCTGTGTCACAATAAATTGTTAACAGTAACGCCATACAGCTAAACTGGTTGCCCACAACATTAGCCTCTCACCTCCCTTTCACATATACAGGAATAAATATTTCGCATGCACGTTATGCTTTACGTTCACAGACTGCAAAGAATTCATTCATGTGATTTCTAGGGTCTTACAAACGGTTGACTTGTACATAGGACCTAGGAAAATACAGTCAGTAAGCGTCACTCAAAACCACTGAAAGCCTACAAAGGGAAGTATTCTTCTAGCCCAGCAGTTATTCCTAGGTTTGTAAACATTTAACAATAGTTTCTTTAAGGTTCTGTACTATTGCAAGACTTCTACCGATAAACCGCCATGCCTGCTTCCGTAAAACAAACAACATCCACTTCCTCCAGAGAAACATTAAGAACCACTCACGTTTCACAGCACCAGAGACACGAGAGGCAACTAACGCGCGACAGCGCGTGCCGTACCCTAGGCCAGCGCCTGACCCCAGGCGCGCGGTCCCCGCTTACGACGACAAGTTGCAGCAACATCTCCCAAGTCAGCTCCAAGCAAACAGGCCAGGGCGAAGGCACGCAGTCGCACAGAGAAGCGACGCGAGAGGCAGAAACACGGCAAAAGCTACTCGCTGCAACCGAGAGCGACCCCAGCTCT